TACCCGCATTTTGTCAAGCTCTTTTGCCGAGCAAGATGGTGTATCCACATCATAAACATTATGAAATTTTCCAAAATCAATTCTATACTCGCCGTTCTCGCGTTGATAAGTCACCAGTTTTTCAAATCTGTAATCAATCTGCTTTTGCAAAAAAACTGCAAAATCACATTTACTTTTCTGTTAAGTACTTTATCTGAGCAGAGCACTGCGAATTCTAGGAAAGTAAGGTAAAAAGGATTTTCCCATTTCCGAAAAATAAAGGGAAGCCGGCACTGCATTGTCCTTTCCTGCTGAGTTTCATGCATACCGATGCTATAGAGAAAAACATTAAAATATATTCAAATAGTTAACCGTTTTCCCCACAAGATTTCATTTGGCAGATAACTGGTTCGTGCTTGCGTCGTGGAGCCCACTGATTCCACAACACCTTCCAGAATAGCAATAATCTCGAATCGCGCTGTGCTCAGACTTTCTCTGCTTACTTCATACAGCGGGCTGTTTTCGTCAATTTCATGACAAACTGTTATTGGCCAAATAACAAAAACACGATCCAGACCCGTATCATAGCCAACATCCATGTCAAATTGATGAAAGGGTAGTAATTCACCCTCGTATGTGATACATTTCTTGATCATCTACAACCAGCTGTATAAATTCAACGTAGACGAATCAGCTGGCTTTTAAGCTGTCAGAACGAAACTTGAAAGTGCGACAAACTGACTTGACCGACGCTAAATCGTTGAAATTATTACACAGTGGCATTTCCCTAGTCAATTTGCCTGTCCTTAAATTGAATTTCTTGCCCTATAATGGAATTTAGCATTTCAGTTGATTCATTCTTGTGCCTTTTCTACTGGTTCAGTAACCCCATCTTGAAAATTTTCTCCTTTTTACGCCTTTTCAGTTGACTAACAGATATCAGCAATGAAGTGAAAACAAACTGTACTTTTTCACACATGACTTGCAGTGTTTTCTGGTTCTCCGAAAAATCTAAAAAGCAAAAATACCCAGTGTTGCAATAAAAAGTAGTCTGAAGGGACGGCGCCATAGTCGTTAGATGGCTCTGGATGCAAGTGGCATAACATCTTTGAAAGAAACAGAACAATTTTTTCCGAGGAAATGCAGCAATGTAACAAGGCGCATAAATTATGGACGAGTCAGAGGGGAGGGAAGGGGAGAAGG